AATATTTATTATTATTATATATATATAATATATATATTATATATATATATATATATATATTTTTATTATATTTAAATATTAAATTTTTTTTTTTATAATAAAAAAAAAAAAAACCTATTTTTTTTTTTTTTAATAAAAAAATAAAAAAATATTAATTACGTAACAAAAATATATATATATATATATATTTTTTCAAAGTTCTGACATAATTAATTCGTTTTAATTATATATTTAATTATTCATTTCTTCTTATTATTAATTATCATTATTATTTTACATTTATTCCAATTAATTTTCCAAAACAATTCCATAAACTTTCTCTAAAGCTTCTTTTATATTTTAACATTCCGCATATAAATGCATTCTAAAATTTTAATAAATAATACTTCTAACATCTTCCACCCCTACAAGTCTTTTAAGAAAATCTAGTAAATACTTTAATTCAATATCACTTTTATTATCATAATAAGGTATAATAGGTATTCCATTTTCTATTTAATATCCAAAAGAATAAGCTGCATTATCAACTAAAACAATATCCTTTAAATCCCTATTCTTAAATATCCTCAAATCTTTTATATGTACACCTTCTGCTGTCTATATACAACTTTCCCTAAAAAGCCTATAGTCAATAATATCATTATTAGGATCTAAATAATCAAGCACTTTATCTGCATAGCAACTATGGGATGCAGTAAAAACTATTATCTCAAAACTTTTTGATAATTCCTTTAATACTTCCCTACAAAAAGGTCTTATATTTACACCAGCCTTTATTAAAGTAAATAATAAAAAAATGTATATTATATATACATAAAAAAATATATATATATAATGGAATATATATATATATATATATATATATATATATATATATATATTTATTTATATATACATTAATATATATATGCACATATATATATTTAGTACCTCTATAACTTCTTAATTTGGAAATTTTATTTATATAGTAATATCAGATTAAACATCTTAATTTTCATTACAATGTATAAGAGTTTCATCAAGATCGAAAACAATAGTTTTTTATTCTATATTTATATATTTATATATATCTATATAAAAAATTATTTATTACTATTTCCTTTTTTAGGTAAATCAACCATCTTGCTTTCTAAGACTTCCTAATTTACTTATTGGAGGGAAGTACAGAATTATAAAGCATGAAAAGATTAAATAAAATGTTCGAGGTAAATGTTGTTGAAATAATCCTCGGAATTAGGATATCTATTATACATGTCCATTGAAGTATTATAATAACAAAATGCACTATTTATAGGTTAGAAAGAAGTATCTTTTTAGTTGAAAAAATTCGGCTTAAAATCTCCAGGGGTTTTTTTTTATAAACTGCTTTAATGTGAAAGGCTTATTTCTATGTTCTCAATTAAAACATCATTCTTACTATCTTGTTTAATTATGTATTAGTCTATATGATCTTTGTTAATCTAAGTAACGTATTAATTTAGTTGAAGCTTTTTATCTTCTAATGATTTTTATCGATTAAAAGTGTTATTATTAGTGCTATTAGATAATAATTATTATGATTAATTATTATTATTATTATTATTATTATTATTATTATTATTACTTTTTATTATTACTTTTTTTATATTTATTGTTCATATTATTATTGTTATTATTGCTATTTTAGTTATATTTATTGTTATTAAATAGTTAATTATTATTATTGTAACATTTTTTATTATTATGATAATTTACTTTATATTTGTTTGCCGCCATTATTTATTTACTGTTTATTAATATAATATAATCATAAAAATATATTTATTTATATATATTTTATTTAATATACTTTTTTATCAGTATTCATTTTTTAATCGAACCCAAAATTAAGATTTTAATTTTTTTTATAAGAATTATTTTTGGTTATAAAAAGTTAAACTGTATTATAATTATTATTAGCTTTATTTTTTTTATTATTCTATATATCCTTAAAATTTTTCTAAGTATTTGAAAAAATGCTCTATTATTTATTCTTCGATATGCTTTATTCTGTTTTTAAATAATTATTCCAATCATAGCTTTTCCTTTCATATTTATTAGAATTATCCTATATGTTATTTCTTTTATTTTCACTTTTTCTTAATTAATTAATTTCGTTTTATATTTTTTTCTCATTTGTATTTTTTAAAGAAATAGATAAAATTTCCTCCTATTATTTATTTAAATAAGAAAAGTCTTTATTTCCAGAACTATCTTTTTTCATTTTTTCTTGTCCATTAATACCAAATGCATTTATTTTATTATTATTTATAAAATTCGCTTATTATAATTTTACTTTAAGCTTTTCAAAATAATCATTCAATTTTAAATTTTTGCTATTTTTTTATTATTTCTATTACTATTATTATGTCTTATATGAATTCTAAATCTTCTATACAGACTTACTTTCTTATTTTTGGCTATTTTTTTAAGAGTTATTATAAAAATTCTTAGTAGATTATACCATTTCATTAGATATTTCATTACTTTTCTTATTTATATTAAAAAAACCCTAAGAAGTAGTAATATTTTTATCATTTAATGATATATATCTAATATATAGTTATTTTTTTTATTTTATTTATTTATTTTTTTAAAAAAAAATATTATATTTTTATTTAAATTACTATTTCTATTATGTTTATATTGAATTATTTTATATTTCTTTATTTAAACTTTATCTTAAGCCTTAATTTTTTATTGTTTATATAAAATCATTATTCTTATTTAATTATATATTATTTAAAGTTTTGTAACTTGTTTTTAGGTCTTGTTTTTATTAAACTATTATTTATTATTCACTTAATTATTAAAAAGAGTCTTTTTTTACAATTTTCTATTATTAATTTTATTATTATTAATGGAAAATATAAGGATTTATTTAAAATATGTCATTTCTATTTATATATTTATATTATATATTTTTTTATGTATTTTTTACTAATTTTATTATTGATAAGATTATTTATTTTTTGAAAAACTTACTGAATTTCGGTTGGATTATTAATTATTAAATTTTTGATCATTTTAATTTTTTTTGTTTCTTAAATCTTAATAATTCTCATCAAATATAAATTGCTATTTTTTGTATTTTTTTATTCAAAATATAAATAAATATATAAGTGTATATATTATTTTACATTAGATTTTTAAAAACTAGACGACATATTATTTTCTTTTTATTTATTTAATTATTGTTTAGATTAATATT